TAGTTAGTCATTTGGTGTCAGCAGTATGGCCCAGTTTCGTCAAAAACATATCAAGGGCGCCGTGTGAATGTATCAAATACCATCTTCTTGGTCAAGCGAGAAGCAAGCTCCAGCTTCTTCCTATGCCTCTCCTCTGCTTCCCTGACTCTGGCCAGACGTTCTTCCAGCTCCTTTCGGCGAGCAAGCATCTCCTGAGTCCTCTCACGTCGAGCGTGCTGCACCATCCAGTCCGGCTCCCCGTCGTCCCCATCTACCAAGTCAGCATATATACATCAACATGTACTTAGTAGCCATGACCTGGATATGACCAGTACATGACCAGTAGAGTAACAGTGACACACCGTCATCAGCCTTCTCGAGAAAGACGGAACGTTTATGGTCCCTCAGCCATGCCAGCGAGCCACATATCAGGCTCAGCGATTTGCCCTATCCGCGTCAGATGGACACTGGTATCACGCATCATCCTGTCAGGTACACAACAGACATACCGTCCCTACACCCCCATCAGCAATGAACAAACGGGCGTCAGAAGCTGCCCCGGGGTGCAGAATTCACCTGTAGGGCTCTCGAAGATGCCTACGCCGCCGTCCTCGATGCAGCCATAGAGCGCCTCCATGAACTGCGCCTGGATATCGTACGGCCTGTACGGATGGCGGAAGTCCCTTTCCATCTCGCTGCCGACGCCCGAGAGACGTCAAACGCTTCTTCCAACTGTTCCTGTCTGGCTTTAGGCCATCTGAGCCGTCCCCTTTGGCCGTTCTATGCCGTATATCGATGTGATCTTCGCCCTGGTCCCCGTCGGTCAGTCAGCTAGCTAGCTATGCGGCTACTTCAACAGCAACGGAGGGGGGGCGCCAGTCTCCATCTCAACGGCCGACTTGCCTCTGCTCTTTTACTCTTTTACTCCTTTTTGCTTCGTCTTCCCGTCTGCCCGTCGCTGCGAGCGTCGTCGTCAACTGACTAAAAATAACCTGCTGAGGCAGTGCTCGTCCTCGGCTGGCGGTCATTATTTGGTTGTTTTAACTAGTTGGTGGGATAACTAACTATTCCAACCATCTACATAAACTACAACCTCCCCGTCAACGTCAACGTCAACATCCAACGTCAGTCACTCTCGCAGCCCACCAACTATCGGCTACTAACCCTTCGGCCTCCTGCTCGTCGCCCTTATCCAGGACCCTCGCCTGTCACAAGCTGCTCGCGAGTGCTGCAGGCATCCAACTACGGAGCCCTGCAGAGAAGAAGACCCCTTACTGCGGCCTCCACTTTGCCCCATCTACCAACCTTTAACAACTCCTTAACTTAGCTACGCCGGCCAAACGCCTTCTAGCAAACTCCTTCTACAGCCTCCGTTGCCGACTCGCACTCCTTTGACCGTCTCCGTCAGCTCGTGGACACGACAGACAGCCAGCTGAACGTCCGCTCCCTTAAATGCGCCGTGCTCCAAGCCCGCCGTCCAGGGCCCCGGCCAGCACCCCCAGCGTCCGCATCCCAGTCCGAGCCAGCAGCGGCGGCGCCCTCGAACACGAGTAGCGCCCTTTTTCTCGCCCTTTCTTTTCTTCTTCTTCCTCCGTCTGCGTGTCTATCCTATCATCTCGCGCCCTCTGGGTTGGAAGCGTATTTAAATAGAAATACACACTACTATCCATGGCTGCTCCGTACGACTCGTCTCGCCCGCCGCGCTTGGGAGCGACTTTCTATCCAGGCGCCGTCGACGACTACCAGATGCCGGAAGTCATCTCGCCTGCTCCCCAGAGGTATTTATAGAGGGCCTTTTTTCTTTCGTTTCTTTTTCAGCTAGTTATCTATCACCTTGCATGGCTTATATATTATAATAACAACCAGCTGGCCCTTTTGTTCCTCTCGTTCGACCTGTCAGCCTTCCAGGAGCACTGCCCGCTAACAGTTGCCCATTTTAGGGTCATGCCCGAAGTCCCTGAGAACATGCAAGATAATCTCGCGCACTTCGAGCTCGACGCCTCGTCCTCCTCCTCCAACTTGCGCCCTCATCACCAGCAGCAGCAGCAGCATTATCCAAGTCGTGGCTCCTCGATGCATAACCAAGGAGCGCCGGGCTTCTCTGCGCCGGGCTCTCCATCCTATCCCCCGCAGCACCAGGCACCACCACCGCAGCAGCAGCAGCAGTACGGCGGTGGTAGTGGCGGCGGCTACGATGCTCCAAACTTCTCCCCTTTTCCGCCGCTCGTGAACCCGCCGCCAAATGTGCCCCCAACGGACGAGGAGCGCGAGGCCAACCTCGAACAGGGCCGTATGGCAGTCCTCGGTTCCAACGATGCGGAAATGCAGCTTGCCTGGGCGCAGGATGCCCTCTCCTATGTCGAGGTAGCCATGCAGAACGAACTGCGCAACCAGGTAGCCTACCCGCCGCGGCCGCAGACACCGCAGATCGAACACCAGCTCAAGACAGATGCCATTAATATCGTTTCTTTCCTGGCCGAACAGCTGCATCCGCGGGCCATGTTCATTCAGGGCATGTGGCTCGAGTTCGGCAAGTTTGGCTTCCGCGTCGACAAGAAGGAGGCTTTCCGGTGCTACTCCCGCGCCGCCGAGGGCGGCTATGCACGCGCTGAGTACCGCATGGGAATGCAATTTGAAAGTTCAAACGAGCCTCTCAAGGCTATCAAGCACTACGAGAATGGTGTCAGGCTGGGTGACTCTGCTTCATACTACGTATGTTTTACCCCTCTATCCCTATGTTGTCGTTACGATGTCCCATTTGACTGACAGAATTATAGCGTCTTGGTATGATGATATTGCTGGGACAGCATGGTCAACGACAAGACTACGTAGTCGGACTCGACCATATACGCTATGCTGCACAAACCTGCGACGAGAACGCTCCTCAGGGCGCCTACGTATGTGTTACCCCCCCCCCCCACCCACCGATCCCGATAACCTTGCACCTTCTAACTAACAATACCAGGTCTACGGAATGCTGCTAGCTCGAGAACTGCCTCAGGTCACTATTCCCGATGAATATCTCGCTCATGACCTTGTCAATGCCCGTATCAACATTGAAAAGGCTGCCTATCACGGCTTTGCTAAGGCACAAGTCAAGATGGGCTCCGCGTACGAACTTTGCCAGCTAGATTGTGACTTCAATCCGGCCCTGTCGATTCATTATAATGCCCTTGCTGCTCGACAGGGTGAGCCCGATGCTGAGATGGCTATCAGCAAATGGTTCCTGTGCGGTCACGAAGGCGTCTTCGAGAAGAACGACGAACTCGCCTTTACCTATGCCAAGAGAGCAGCTCAGTCGGGCCTGTCAACTGCCGAGTTTGCACTAGGCTACTTCTACGAGATTGGTATCTACGTTCCTGTAGATATCAAGGAAGCCCGAAGCTGGTACGCCAAGGCAGCTGCCAATGGAAACAAGGACGCTTCAGGACGAATTGAAAGCATCTCGCGCTCCAAAACACTCTCTCGCAAGGATCATGAAAAAGTGGCCATTCAGCGCATCAAAACACAGCGCACTCAGCAGCGCTTCTCCCAACAGTCTAATCATCTCCAGCAAGGTCAACCCGTCCAAGACACCCTTGAGATGCCCGATCCATCTCGCATGAGCCTCAATGACCCTTCCCGCCCCATGTCAGCGGCTCCATACCCTGACGGACCCCCCTCAGGACGCTATGGACCAGGTCGGCCAGGTCCAGGACCAAACTCACACTCTTACGGCCCAGGGCCGGGCGATCACCGTAGCTCTTCCGCTTTCGGTATCAATCCCAATCTCCGTGCACACTCAGTTGGACCACCAATGGGACCACATGGATATCCACCACATGGTCGTCCACCAATGGGTCCCGGTCCCGGTCCAGGAGGCCCCGGAGGTCCTGGTATGGGACCAGGTCCACCAAAGCTGGACATCGGCTTCTCTGCTCCTCCAGACCCGTCCGGTGCAGATAGAAGGAGGAAGCCGCAGCGTCCTCCTGGTGCACCGGGACCGGGTCCAGGGCCAGGACCAGGACCCGGCCCTGGTGGAAACCGTATGCCTTCCGCTCCTCCATCAGGAAGGCCACACGGCGGACCACCTAGTGGCCGACCTGGTACCGCAGCTGGTCCGGGTCCAGGGCCCGGGCCAGGACCAGGACCTGCGCCGCAACCACCAAAGCAATCTGCCACTGCACCTCCTGCGCCCGGTAAAGGCAAGGGCCCAAAGACGTTCGAGGAGATGGGTGTGCCGCAGGGCAAGTCGGAGAGTGATTGCGTAAGTAGACCTTACTACCTACACTATATGCTGATAGTCAACCATAATACTAACAAACTTGCTAGGTCGTTATGTGATGTCATTCCTTACCATTATCGGTCAAGGGCAAACGGGGAACAAAAAAAAGGGGTGGGGAGAATGGTGTTCTCTATTTCATATGCTGCATGTCGTTGCAAAAGTCGATTTGCCACGTTGTTTCTTCTTCCTCTTTCTTCTATCTTGGTAAAACTTATTGATTAATTCTGGAGATTCTGGAGCCCCCTTTTCGCTTACTTCTTTTTTCCCCCTCTTTTCACGTTATGCCCTTCGTGAAATTTATCTCTGTATGCATTACTTACATTATATAGCACTGTCTGCCTTCTGCATTACTTACATCTTCATCTTGCCTTACTTTTATCTCACATAGACTCTCGGGGCTCATTTCGAACGGTTACATATATCGGCCTTCTTCGCCTCTTATCTTGGGATCTCCGCCCTTCTTTTGCTTCTCTTGCTTTTGTCATATTTTCTACTCTGGCGTGTTTACCTTTGATCTACTGTTCAGCGTGTCTGTTGTCATTCATTCAACCCTTTCTTCTTCTCCCTTCCTTTATGATCCTACTTATTATGCATAGTTATCACGTTCTCGGCGGTCAACACGGCCAGGTATATAAAACAATACTATTTCCGTTCTTTCGTGATAACTGCCCGACCTGACTATCTACAACATATTATATACTCCCAATCCACCGTAGACAGTGAAATACATGATTTATCCCGTCTTCTATATAAATATTTATAACAAGCCTGGCCGTAAACGAATGCGGTCAGCAAATTCTGCCGCCTGTTGTCCCAAACTGGAAATTCTCAACGTCTTTTCCTCGACGTCTTTTTCAACTTCAACTTCAACTTCAACAACTTCAACAACTTCATCGGCATCGACATTGTCATCAACAACAACGGAAGAAGACTAAGAGAACGGCAGTGACCATAGAGATAGAACATTCACAGTCGACAGAAGGTAGATACGATGGCTCCCAAGAAGGAAAAGACGGAGAAAGGCGAGAAGAGCACCTCCAGTGAAGATGGTAGGTGTTTTCATCCGGTGTCAAGATGCAAAGCTATGAGTTCAGCCAAATTCTGATGGGATGACTGTACTTCTCCGGCTATTGATACAGGCTCGGCCATGATTCTGAAGTATCTCAGTAAGTGGATATATAATCTCTGTGCTATGGACACAAGAGTGCTAATTGTTGGCCAGAGCAGCAAAAGTATGAAGGACACCGAGCTATAGCTGACAATCGGATTATATGCTAACTGGCTTAATAGCCGGCCGTACTCGGTAGGTCAATCATTTTCCCCGGTTGAGCACAGAGATACTAAACCACGAGTAGGCAATTGATATAAGTGCAAATTTGCACAATAAGGTGACCAAAGGTATCTAGCATAAAACCGGAAAAGACAGACACGAACCATATACTAACAATAGGCATAGCATATACGGTCAAAGCTTTAAAGGCTCTGCATGAGCGGAAGCTGCTCGAGTGCAGGGTCTCAGGTATAAATAGAACTGGGTATCTTGTTGAAGGCCTGAGCTGAGTGTAACGTAGGGAAACAGATGGTTTACCATGCAGTTCAAGAGACTAGCAGCGAGGCAACGCCAGAAGAACTTGCAGCCATGGACGACAGGATCACATCTCTGAAGGAGCAACTCGAATCTGTCAAAGTACAAGAAAAGACTCTCAAAGCCGAGCTTGCCGTGCTAAACTCCCGTGTCTCAAGCACAGAGCTTCTCTCGCAAATCGGCCAGTTAGAGCTGAGGAAGGATACACTGAACGATCAACTTGCCCACCTCTGCAAGGAGACGGCTACAGACAGGATAGTAACAGAGGAAGAAAGCAACCGTGTCCAGAAGGACTGGGCAACGTGGAAGAAGCACGCTTCTCTCCGAAAATTGGCATGTCGAGAGCTATGGTTAAAATGCACAGAGGTCCTGCCCGACAACGTCAAAAGCAGGGAAGAACTCTGGGAGTCGTTCGGGATGGAAGGAGAGCTGTAATGCCGCCGTCCAATCGGGGGTGTCCAAGCAACATATGCCCGTCGTGGGGGGGAGGAAGATCTGGGGAAAGAGTTATATGCGAGGACAACACGATAAATGCTAAAAAAACACCCATTCGGTCTCTGCCATGCCACGAAACAATGACGATGAACAGCCGGCAGCATCCCAAGGATTAGTTAACTAATAGCTAGTGGGCATGACGACACGATGGCGTCGGTATTACTTTCAGGTCAGCTGCAGCGAGGTCAGTCGCCGCAAGCTCACCGTAGCTTGCAGGTCATGAGCCTCCTTGTTTGAGTTGTATGTATGTACCTCTGAGTTCCAGTGTCATGATAGTTGACAATAAATAGTTAGAACTGCCGCTCACTTGCCCTTCATTCACTCTCAGAGATATCCTCGACCTAGTTCGGCGACTAAGTCGGGCCTCCAGTGAATACATAGTTATATCGCCGTTGAAATGAGATCGAAGTGAAACTTCCCGCCTGGTTTCCAGGGATACCTTTCGGCCTCCAAGGCTCGGAAAAGAGTGACTGCTGCGTGGCAGATCTTTGCTCGCCTGCCCATTCTCCTCCTTTGCCAGCAAACAGCAAAGCCCACACTAAAATCTAAGCGCGAAACAACAAGCAGAAGAGCAGAGGAAAAAGCATCCTCCAACAAGCTAAATCCCGAGACTTTTTGCCCCCTCCGCACCACAATAATCCCTTCGATCCACGAACCCTAAATAAAAGACGCGGAAAAATCTGTTGGCTGTTCTCCTCCTGCGACCTTCTTTTCAACCTCACAATGCAGAAACAGCCGCCGACGCAACCACGGCATCACCCACCACAGCATATAACACCACAATACCCGCCACCGCAGCAGCAGACAGACTCGCGGAAGCTCAACGACACTGCCTCTGCTACTGCCAGAATGGCTGGAGGCGATCCGCGCAACAGAGCCCCGCTTCCTGTGCCGGGAGGTCATGGTCCATTTCCGCAGAACGAAAACGGTGGCATGCGTCCGCCGTTTGATATGGCTCGCAGCCCGCCAAATCCACCCGCCAGCAAGAGTAGGTAGACACCTTTCGGATGGCCCGCTTCGAACGAAACGGCAGCTAACTGACGTGAACGCGCAGATACTAAACATGTCCCATGCAAGTTCTTCCGCCAGGGAACTTGTCAGGCCGGCCCGGCATGCCCGTTTCTTCATTCGACAGACAATACCATAGACTCTGCGCCGTGCAAATACTTTACAAAGGTGATACTTGAACTGCTGGGGAAGCCCTTAGTTACTTGGGCCTGTGAATATGACTAACAGCTTATGGCGATATCTAGGGAAACTGCAAATTCGGAGCAAAGTGTGCCCTAGCTCACATCTTACCCGATGGTCGGAGGGTAAATAGGCCCAGCATGGGCCTTGGAGGAAACCTCAACCTAGGCGGAAGAGTTCATCCTCCTCCATACCATGCACAGGACTCAGCTTTGGCAAACTCACTCCTCTCTCAACAGCAGATAAACGGACAAAATCCACGGTTCTCATACCCGTATGCCTCCCAAGATGATCTGCATCTCCTACCTCCACATGCCCAGCAACAACTTCAGCAACAACAACAGCTACAGCAGCAACAGCAACAGCAACAACAGTTCGGTCAGCAGTATGATGGCTCGATCCCACTTATTGACGCTGGGCTGGTGTCTGATACCGGCTCCAAGTATGGCTCACCTCCAGAGGAGATCCGCCTCCCCATGTCTCCTATCGGTCGTACAGCTCTAGATGCTCCGCTGCCTGCTTCGTTCGACAGTCAAGGCATATCCCACATGGCTCGCTATGGCCCAGTCGCGGCATCGATGCCATCCAAGTTCGGACTTGACTTCGCTCACTCCCCATCCCTCTCTCACCGGCCTAACGCCACTCCCGACGTGCTCCGTAGCTTGCATGATACAGCCTTCGGAACAGACAAGAAACCACTTGGGCTCGGCTCTTCACCACCAGTTGTTAGTGCGGAAGATAACTCCGGCTTCCGTGTCATGCATTCTCAGCGTGTACCCCGCCAGCGTATACTCTCCGCCAGCGTTCCCCGACCCACGGTTCTCGATGACTGGGAGGACAACTTCACTATGGAGGAAGATTATCTCCCCACGAACCTGCACGATGATGTACTCACGCCTCAGGAACGAATGCGCCGTCTCTCTCGCACCGAGCACGAATTATCAAGTAGCAGCAAGGATCCATCTGGCCTTGGAATAGGTATAGGAATCGGGATCGGAGGATCGGGCAAAGTAGGCTCTCCGCTGGCATCCAGCCCATCTCGGTTTGGTGCCCTATTCGCCAAACAACGCCAGCGGAAGGAGGAAGAAGCTCAAGCTGCCCTCGCCCAGAACGGACATGTCGGCTCTCCTCTGCGCGAATCAGTCATTGGGTCTCGCTCCTCTGCCAACGCCATCCGGCCCATCGGAAGCCTGCCCGGATCTGGCGACATCTCTCCCTTCGTTGCCAGCCCTCGCCAGTCTTCCATGTCTATGATTTCCGAACAGTTAAGCAGCACATCGCTTCACCCTAGCTCCGCCCGAGCTCCGACCAGCAACCCTCGTCTGGACCGCAATATATCGTCACCCGTGAGCACGAGCCGGATCGACGAGGAGCAGAGTGACCTGGTCTTCTCAATGGAAGAGGAGGAAAGCAATAAGAGAACAAGCGCAATTTGGGGCGCAAACAAGGGAACCCCTCCTCCTACAGAGGAAGAAAAGAGTGCAAACGCAAAGGCGTCTACGGCCGGTCAGGATAAAAAGGATGGGAACGGAAAATCTTACCTAAAAATGGAGTCTTTGTATGGAAATCGATCATGATGATATCCATGGTGGTGGTGTTTTTTTTTACTTATCTTTTTGATACGAATCTTTGGCAATTGCTTGGTGACCTGCTTTGTTTTTGATCCGCCTTTAATTCACTGGATGTTTTTCATGTGCTGACGCTCTTTTGGCCCCATTTTCCTTCTCCCCTTTGATACTCTCTCTGCTTTTCTACTACATCTCCTTCGGATCTTTTCCTTTTTTTTTTCCCTTTCAATACACCGGTTTGGAGAATCCAATGGTCGTTTATTCTGTTTAACTCTCCATCTCTGCCACTCTTCTTTCTCTTTTTACATTTCCCGGCGCCCATCGAAAATTCTGTTACTCTTTGCATACCATACATAACCTGTAAATATATGTCCAGATACATACGCCGACTCCTGCATGCATAACATAACAGCAGATACACCGCTAATGATAAGTCTATTTCATGCATTCTTGCGCATCCCCGTAACCAAAAGAGAACTTTGTATCTAGATATCCATGATCAGCTTCTCGCTTTCTCCAAGAAACATATCACCGAGTCATCCGCCATCAGCCTCTCGCTGTAGATATTGAACCCGCACTTCTCCAGCAGCCGGATACTGGGAATGTTTGCCTTGTTCACATTCGCATACACCTTCTCGGGCTTCTCCTCTTCACCTTCACCGGCCGGCCGTCGAGGTATTGCCCACCAGACCTCAAGAAACGCCTTCAGGGCTTCCGTGCCATACCCTTTACCCCAGAGGTCGGCGTCGATAGAGTACCCCAGGTTCGGTATGGGCAGCACCTGGTTCATTCCAATGCCTCCAATGATCCTGCCTGGCTTGACTGCGCCCTCTTCCGTTTCTTCTCGCAGTGTTACAGCAAAGTAGAAGAAGAGCTCTCCTGAGTCCGGGATTTGAAGCCTCTTAGAGTCCATCCATCCTTTTTGAGCTGACACATCAGGGATGCCGTGTACGAGATATTTGAGCATAGGATGCAAGGCAGGGATGTTTCTGGTTGCCGGATGTTAGCCACTGATATGTATATATAATGCTGGGTAAACGGGGGTATCCTACTTCCAGGCATCAAGCAGCTTTGCGTTCATTGCGACCAACGGTGCAGCATGGTCGTATGTCATGGGAACCAACACCATGCGCGGAGTGACTATCTCCTTTGCCTCGTACGGGAGAATAAGCCGACAGGGTTGAGGCGGTGCTCCTGCTGACGGGTATTTGACCTTCTCCTCTTCCTCAGTTGCACGCTGTGGCTGTACGCTGGCCATGATTGTAGTATCTTAAAATAGAGAGATGCTGAAGGGAGACGGGTTTGATAACTAGTTAACTGGCATTCCAGGGAGAGTCCACGGCGTCTTTATATATAGGCCATAGATAAATACGATGCTGCCTGCGGAATACCCATTATCAGACCTGCTAGTCGGAATACGAGGTCATGTCATGAAAAAGAGTCAAAATGACCAGCTCGGTGCATGTCTAAGGGCGAGAAGGATGGCAAAGCGACAGGGGCAGAGGGCGTTTCGAAGTCAGATATCGGAATAAACTTCGGAATTAACGGAATGAACGGTCACTGATTATCGATCGATTTGGACGACGGTGACGTGAGAGTAAATGTCATGGATTATATTTATTTGGTAGTTAGCTGGCAGTTGGTTGGTCTAACAGAGGAGGTACATGGTTGGATTTTTTGTGTTTAATGGAAAAGCCACAGAGGAAGAAGAGATATAAAGTACACGGAAGAACATGCTCGACCAAAGAAAATGCCCCAACGGCAACGGCAACGGCATGCAAGCTGTAGAGCAGAGAAGAAGAAAGATAAAAGAAGCAGCAGAAGACGTAAAAGAAGGGCTAACAATCCATATGCTTTTTCCTGAGGTGGTGGCTTTTTATGTCAAGATTCCAGTTTCATTATGACCGACTTTTCTGAAAGAGCATCAAGAGAATTAAATGGCGTAAACCGAACAGTAACCGTCAGTAGTTAATCACCGTCCGCGTCGCTGTTGGGCGGCAAGCATGTTGGCATGAAGAAGCTTGAATCCGTTGCAGAGAGCTCGCATATCGGGGTATGGAGTGCGTTGCAGTTCGTAGCCTTGTGGAATCACCTTGACAGGCCAGCTGTTCAGTGGTGCCTTCAACCCAGCCTTGAAGCAGAGGTGGAAATATCCGGGATGCTTGGTATCAAGGCAGAAGGCATAAGCTGATCGTTTGGGATTGGCAGTGGTATACGTCGTCAACCAGCCCTCTATAAATCACTGTTAGTTTCCTTGACGATCATTATAATGCATGAATAAGGTAGAACATTACCTGTTGCCTCCTTGGTGCCGCTCTGATATTTCTCATGTACCGTCATATCATCCACTTTCCTGGCCATAGCCTTGACGTGGTTGACTATCAACTCGTCAAGATCGGTGTACGAGTATTTACCGCCGATCTTCAAGATTCTTCCAACGGTAAACTCGTTGTCTTTGTCCAGCTCCAAAACATCAATGTGCTGGTATACTCCATCAGCTACCTTCCAAGTAACAGCAAGATGGTCGTGGCCCTTGGATGAAGGACGAATTACGACGTCACCACGGCTCTGAGGTGCAAGGAATTCCTCTGCTTGTCTGCCATTGAACGGACGGAAGAGTGGGTGTTTGATAACACGCAGAGCACGTTGGTCGGTCTGGGTTTTCTCCTTCATAGCCTCCTGGTCTTCTCGCTCTTGATCCTCGTCCCATTCGCCACGCATGTGGTCTAGTTGTCGCCGGTATGGCTTGTTCACCTGGTCTTCTCGGAGAGAAACGTTGGCTACAAACGACTTTCGGTTTAGGTAGGTAATCTTCGCCAAAGTAGTCTGATGAGGCGCGTAGAGACTTCGAACAGGAATGTCGTATCTATCTGTCATTTCTGACTCGGGTACAAGAGCATCGATTCCACAGTCAAGCTTGCCGTCAATATGGTCATCCGAGACACGCTTGATGGTAATAGGCACAACCATGCCCTGGGCCAACGACTCGGCGGTTTCACCGGTAAACATTGTGAAAATGGCATCGGTACCGAGGAACACAAACTGTTTTCGTAGCTCTTCGTAGGGTTGCTGGAGTTCGGCACGGATGGTTTCGAGGGTAGCTCTCTTGCGCTGGTTTAGGTTGTTTTCCAGCTGCTCGGCGTATTCTTCGAGAAGAAGATCGTTGACCTTATCCTGGGCATCTTCCTTGATGAGTTTTCGAACAATGGCGCCTTGTCCATTCTCGTCTGTCTCTGCCTTGATATCTTCTTCATCGAGTTCAAGGGCATCAGCAGCAATCTTCCTACCGATATCGTAATCTTCAGGATGGACACGAGTGTTGTCGAGGTAGTCTGTGTCTGGGTCTGCGTTGTCATAGTCAATGTACAGGAAACTAGCGCAGTTGTTCCAGACTTTGACTCCCATGGCTGGGTACTGGGCATTGACTCCCAAAAGTTCCATACGGCTGTTTACCACGCCGCCGTTCATATTGATGACTTTCAATAGCTGAGATGCCTTTCGTGGACCAAGGCCGGAGACATATGTAAGGAGGTTGGCTGTCGAGACATCGCTGACAGCTTCGTTGATATCAACACCAACCAGGTTGACCATATCCACCAAAGCGGTTTCTAGCTGTTTTAATAGCTTGTCCTGCGGTATAAGTTGCTGACCTGGTCTGAACTGGATGGACACCACATCTCTTCCTAGTGAGGCATACTCTTTCATTGGATTCTGGAGATACTTTGCTAGGGAAACGCAGTATCGACTTTGTAGACTGAATCCAGGGTGGTCAACTTCAGCTCTGCGGCTGGTCTGGTATAATCTGGCGACCTCATCATTAACGATGACAACTTCCAGGATATCACTGACTTCCTCATCTCGTTCATCTGTGTAGAAAGCACCGCGCAGGTCCTTTGCTTGGACAAGCTCTGATAGTTGCTTGTACAGCTTTCTGGTTTCGGGAGACTGTCCCGATACGCCAATGACATCAGGTTTTCGGCGCTCAACGAGTTCAACAAAGGCTTCCACATCCTTTCCGTCAGCTATCATGCGGTCGGGGTCACCAAGGGTAAGATCAACAAATTTGCCGTGTTCAAGCACTCGGCCGTCTTCTTCAACCCAAGTCCAATAGATAGGATCCTTTCCAACGATTCCAGATCCGTTCGTAAGAGCCAAGACTCGAGGGATGGTTCCTAGGATCATTCCCTTGGGCTTATATGGAGCTTGATCGAGTCTTGTCGAGAAGACTTCTCTGCACTCGCGCGCAACATGGTTCTCACACTCTGAGCGGATATTCTCTTTGACTCCCTTACTCATTATCTTTTCCAGCTTGCTGAGAGCTAGATCCAGGACGTCCTTTCGCTCCTTGTTCCATGCATCTGCAACCTCGCTGGAGTTATCAGATTGGATCTCGGGATAAAGGCGTTTCTTGAAGTTGTCAAAGTCCTTGAAGTGAACTTTTATATCAACCAAACCTTCTTCCTCGGCCTTGAGCATGCGCAAGAAGAGCTCAGGCCGGCGCGCGATATCCGAGATCTGTTGGTCACGGAGGTACTTGAACTCGTAGTATGGATGATGTTCGTCAATCTTCTTTAATCCCTTTTCTGTTCGGTAACATTCGATCACTCCACTCATGTAGAAGGCCTGCCTCATGACTTTTCGAACCCTGGGGCTCATGGTAAGTTCTTCAGCAAACATTGTGCGTGCAGCCTTCATGGCATGGGCTCCGTTGGAGAAGCTCGAGTCCAGGAGGTTGTCGGCCATATCGGTGGGTTTCTCGCTTGCATCGTCGATATATTGTCTTCGACCAGTCTCCATGACGTTTTGCGCAAATGCATCGGGAGTGATACCAAATGCACGAACCAGTCCATATGCACGGCTGTTGCGCACACGCTCGAAGAAGGTCTTGGTAGAGGCCTTACGGCGCTGGGCGGCAGTGCCATTCTCTCCTTCGTGATTGGCGGTGGCCAGAGCCATGTCCTTGAGTTCTATAGAGTACTGGAAGTAAAGGTAGTCCTGAACATCCTGGAGTTCTTCCATGGTAATAGCTGCGGGGAGCATTTCCTCAAACATCTCGTCCTTGACATTGGATATCGTCTGTAGGTTATCGTATGTGGTCTGGAGAGTGTTTCGTTTATCGATGAGGGCACGGAATTTAAGGTCGTACTCGAAGATATCCCACAGGTCGATCATGCTGAGCAGCTTCTCTGCCTCGACGATGTACTTTCCTCCATCAGGGTTGGTCCCACCGTCGGGAATCGGGATCTTGACGGCATGGATAAGGTAGTCCTTTCGGTGCTGGAAGATGAAGGGTACTTCCCAGTCATCCGTGACCATGAACTCGAGGACCTTTGCGACCGCCCGCTGGAATGGTTCATGTAGATCTGAATCAAGTCGTTTTTTCAGCAGCATGAGGTTTGATATCCAGACAGCCTCTTCTCTGAACTGCTCCTCGGTCAGAGTGACGTGCTGGTATGGCTTTCTGGCAAGCTGGTACCGTTCAGGCTCGTCTGTCGAACGTATGATGTTATCTTCGTCGGTCATCATCTTCTCGGCGAGCTGCGAGGGTTCGAACACGTCCTTGAGGTCGAGCTGCTTCTCCTCGTCCTCTTCCTGCTCTTCTTCCTCGTCTTCCATCTCGAGGGCGAAAAGATAGTCATTTCCGTCTCCGAAGGCCATGCGCATATCCTCGAGAGCGGCTTCATCGAGCCCAGTGGCTTCGGTCACGGCGAAACCAGAGAGTCCCTTTCTGGCTGGACGGGCGATCTCCTCGTCCTCCTGCTGGCGCTCATCTTCGTCTGAGAAGACATCCTTTTCAATAAAGTCGTCAAGGTCATCGTGCATGTTCCTCCGGTCTCTGCCACGTCCGTATGTCTCTACTTCATCTTCCTCGTCTGAATTGAAGATGTCGTTGATGCCCTGTGGCTGGTCCCGTCCGACTTTGTGGCCGCGCTTTAGACGCTTGAACTTGGACTACGCAGCCGTCAGTTTTTGCTTTTCTCCTTTCCGGCGCCTACAGAATCACAGACTCAAAGAAGCATACCTCATTGTGCATGGGGAGTTCAAAGTCGGGATTGTTTTCTCTGATCAGGTAGAGGTCGTCTTCGTCCAGCAGCTCTTCTTCCTCTATACGCTCCTGCCGCCGACGCTTCTTCTTCTCCCTGCGCCTGGCCGTCCGCTCTTCGTCTTCTTCCTCTTCATCGACGATAAAGCCTTCTCGGACCTATCAAAGTATCAGCCAACTTGACCTCTCCCTGCCAGTCGCAAAAGGGAAGAAAAAAAGGGCAGGACACCTACCGCACGCACGGCATCCTCGTCTTCATCGTCTAGCTCCTCTTCGCTGGAGTCATCGTAGTGACCGTTCTCCTCCACATCCTTTGACTGGCCGCCCTCCTCGCCGAAGGACTCATCTTCTTCCTCGTCCAGGACAGCTTCGGTCTGCAAGAGGTCGTGAGTGCTCATGACTGTGGAACTTGTTCGAACCGCCGTCTCGTCTGGATCGCAAACTCCTCCCAGACAATGTCAACGGGGAGAATACCGAAATAACAGCGACAATGATAGCAGAAAGCAGAGAAGATAGAGAGAAGATAGAGAAAGAGAGAGAGAGAGAAGACGTTGGACGCCGAAAGACGAAGAAAGTCCTTTTGGCAGCTTCAGAGGCGCCCAGGACAGCGCTAGTCCCAAACGGGAGGAGACCGCTAAGCGCCGCGTCTAGCGCCTATTCCAAGCGACAGCCGCAAGTCACGTTACTTCTTACGTCAGCAGGCCGAAACGCGCTATCAATAGGAGCAAGTCCGGGCGGCAGCGACCAAAGACGCATTTTTATATATAAAAAAAAGTAAAAGCCACGAAATCGCAGACAAGAAGATGACGACGGCGAGGACAGGGAGGGAGAGCAAGGAGAGAGACCTGAAACCCGGTGGATGGCGGCCCCCCCCCAGGAGTCGAAGGGGGTCGAAGGAAGCTCGCTAACCGCCCGCCCGCCCGCCACAGTGGGCAGCAGCGAAAGGAGGAGCCCGGCTGGTCGACGGGCTGCTCTCCTGCGGCGGCGCTTTGCTCTGCTTTGGAAATAGTTATGCCCCCCTGTCGCCGCTGCGGAGCTGCGTTACTAGTAGATTTTTGCCTGAAGACTTAGCATGTAACACCCTGCTGTAGACGAAAAAGCCATCTCGCTTCCTCCTCGCCCGTTAAGCATCGTCGTCTTGCTCTGTAACTTCCAGCTCGTCCTGCCTGTGCCGCTCTATTAAAGAGGTGAAAAGTGGGAGAACCGCGATCCGCTCCGTCCATTGGCTGCGTCTGCGGCATCGTCATCTTATCCCACCGTCCAATACCACCAATATCTCCTCCGTCCAGCGCAGCAGACTCGCCCACCCAGCGATCCCCCCCCCAGCGCCAGGTAAGGAGACGAGCAAGGCTTTTCCCTGCAGCCGGGCGTCTCTCTTCGCTACTGGTTGCATCCCGCGGAAATGGACTTGTTCGGCTGATGGTTTTTGGTCTCTTTCAGGTACAATCACTCTCGCTCGCTCACAAGGGCAGACAGACCCTCCGCCAGACACCCGCAGATCCAGGCCTATTTTCCCCTGGAGATCGTGTTATACCAGCAGACTCTCTCTCTCTCCCCCTTGCTGTCTCGATATCTGCTCGCTCGAGAGCCTTCCGTCGTGGTCTTCTCTCTCTCTCTAACTCCCTCTATATTGCGGTGTTCGGCTGGTGGGACTTTCTCGTGGTGCCACATAACGTCTGCCTGACTCTCGATCGAGATCACCACAACATATAACGAAGGGGCCAGAAGGGAAGCAGAAAGGATACAAGACAGCCGGCTTACTCCCGTGCAGGCTTCTGCAGCACCTCGCCTACCCTCGTCGGTTTTCTACCTCCCTTGATTTGTCCCTGGAGCAAATCCTCACATACACACTCTGCCACCATGGCGGACGCTTTCAAGGCCCGCTCGCTGAAACGAAAGAACGTCAAGGGGCTTGCTCTCAATGCAGCAGCGTCAAAGCCAGGCCTGAAGCCCTCGGATGGCGATGCTCAGATCCCCGGAGCTATCGGAAACGTGGACTCCAACAGGACAGACACCCTCGAGATTGGCCTGGAATTCAAACTCGACCTGCGCAGTGAGGACCTGATTGTGCTCAAGGAGCTCGGGGCCGGCAATGGAGGGACCGTCAGCAAGGTCATGCACGCCTCGACAAAGGTCGTCATGGCCAGAAAGGTAGGCATTCTTCTTCGTTTTGGCTCATTGCTAGTTAATACTAATTGAGGCCCTCTTGATAGATCATCAGAGTCGATGCAAAGGAGAAAGTACGGAAGCAGATCCTCAGAGAGCTCCAGGTCGGCCACGACTGCAATTCGGCCCAGATCGTCACATTCTACGGAGCATTCCAGAACGAAGCCAGAGATATTGTACTTTGCATGGAATACATGGACTGCGGGTAAGTTTGTCCATATATATATATAGAGAGAGAGACGTATACGTACTTACCAATGTACAGATCTCTAGACCACATCTCGAAGAACTTTGGCCCCGTCAGAGTCGACGTACTGGGAAAAATCACCGAGTCCATCTTCGCTGGTCTCGTCTATCTCTATGAAGCCCACCGGATCATGCACAGAGACATCAAGCCATCAAACGTCCTAGTAAACTCAAGAGGAAGCATCAAGCTGTGTGACTTTGGCGTTGCTACCGAGACAGTCAATTCCATAGCAGATACATTCGTCGGTACTTCCACTTACATGGCACCAGAACGTATCCAGGGAGGCGCATACTCTGTACGGTCCGACGTCTGGAGTGCTGGGTTGACCGTCATGGAACTGGCTGTTGGAAGGTTCCCCTTCGACACCTCTGATACCTCTGCCGGAGACAGGGCGAGTGCGGGACCCATGGGCATCCTCGACCTGCTCCAGCAGATTGTACATGAACCAGCTCCCAAACTACCCAAGAGTGATGCCTTTCCCAAGATATTGGACGACTTTGTTGCAAAGTGTCTACTGAAGAAGCCCGAAGAACGACCAACTCCACGACAGCTATACGTACGTCCTCTATACACCCTACTTCTAATAACTCTATGATATTCAACTAACGCGTCTGTAGGACCACGATGCATTCATTCTAGCGGCTAAGAGAACCCCCGTCAATCTTCGGGAGTGGGCAATCAGCATGATGGAGCAGCACAACAGAAAATCATACCTTGCACCCCCTGCCCCCAAGGCTATCACCCGCGATGGCGGATCAGGCGAATCTCCGTCCTCCTCCGGCCCTCATACCCCAGACGAGACCCCCCGCCAGGCTACCTCAGGAGAAATCCCGCTCAACATCGCAGGAGATATCACGCCCCGATCACGGCCCCAAGCCACCTACGGCATAGAGCACTCTCCATCAATGGGCTTCGAGAAGCTATCACTCAACACCAACCAGGGCCAGAACTACTCTAGCGGCTCGGTTCCTCGCTCCTCCCGCTCTCCGTATCCTCACTCCGCTACATCCACGTCTCAGGGCCCCTTTGCTGCGCCTCGTCCCGCACCTTCACCAGTGTACCATACTACCAGGAACGGTTCGCAGTCCGCCGGTCTTCCACACCTAGCTGGTCCTCCGCCAAAGGGCCCCTTACCCATACCCCCTACATCTGACTCCTGGCGAAGCCAGTCGCAGAACCGGATATGATTAACCACTTCTCTTGACTCAACTGAACTACTAACCAACATGCATCTAACCATCTACATTTTGAATTGGCGCCATTCATCTCATCTCATCTCTCTTCCTTGCTTTACTTTGCTTCATTCTACTTTCTCTCTGCTTTCTACCGTATAACACTTCTTTGCCTTTCATCAGTGTTTTACCTATCCATCTATTCTATTCATTCGTCTCTTTATATTACTGCACTTTGTTATTTCATCCAGTTAGTCTCCCCTTTTTTTTGTCTTCACTTCTGCTGTTACTTTTTATTCTGTTGTATCGCGTTATGCTGTGTTTCCTCTCCTTAAGCCTTCATACCCTCGATCTATACATATTTACTCTCACCGCCCCTCTTTCCCTCCCACCTGTGTAGCTATCATAATAATGACCTCTCTAGCATGTATGCAATGGTACCTTTGGCAATCAGAAGCTCATATCTAGGAATGTACATAATTCAGATCCTCTCTTTATAGAATTCAATCACTTCATTATTCAGTGGGTAGTAGCCATGAATAGGAGGCCACTGGCAGTGGATGAACGTATTGGTCAAATGCCTCTTTATTTCAGACGAGTCTGCATGAATAGCCTCGCATTGATTATGAGTTCGTACATTAAGCGAGGCGAGTACAGGATTCTAACATCAATAAAACAAAACATCCAAAGAGATCCGTCATATAATAGATAAAATCAAAACCCGAGTATACATGCATTTGCCACCGTAAACCAGCAAGCCTCCCCTTTTATTATTATATGCTTTCTTTATTATTCACCCATATAAGTAGATCAGAGAGAAAGAACATCCATCATAAATCGATATCATAAACCATGTAAAACATAAAATAGAATAAAAAGGGGGGGGAAAATGCAAATAATGGATAGTAAAAAAAACGACTAATGAGAAGTACCAAGGACATCGGCCCCCTTGACTCGTCCAGCTCCTCGTTTGCTAGACTTGCTCTTCCCACCGCTATATGCTGGTCCAGAGCTGCCTACGTCGAGAGAAACAGGTAAAGTCTCGAGGATGGCTCTGTTCCCTTCGAAGTAGTGGTCGATGAATCCTCCTCCCAGAATCCTGCGCATACCAGCGAGGCGGATCCATTTCCACCATCGGTCGACACGCATGTAGCTGTTTCGATGGAACTTGACCGTCTTGCGGCTGCCGTAGCTTTGGTTGGTTTCGAAGTCGATGGCGTTGCTGTACTGTGGGCCACGGCGGGGGTTGATGACGGTGTTCAGGATGGAGGTGAAGTTGGTGTGAAGGGAGCGTTTGTCCTTCTTGTTGATGTGGCGGCCGGAGATGTGGGCGAGGGCCTCGACCTGTTTGATGATGCGGTGGGTGTTGTGGTATGCATCGTATCGCTTGATGAGTTTGGCGCCGTTGTCGTCCTCGTCGTCCGATGGGGTGGAGGAACGGTCGTCGTCGGTGGCGTTGTAGTTGTCTTCGTCGTCTGACTCGTCCTCCTCCCTGGGTGTGTAGCTCTTTTCGTAGAGGAGGGCGATGTTCTCACCAGCTGCAACCTGCACACTGGTCTCGCTGCTCTCCAGCTGGTCGGCAAAGGCCTCGACGGCTTCTTCACTCTCGACCTCGAGGTCTTCTACGTGGGAAGCGAGGAATCCCCATTCCTCAATGGCGGCGGTAACGGTATCCGAGTCGTCGGCAGCATCGACGTATGCGCCGTCAGACATGGCAATTTCCATCAGGAAGTTCATCTGCTCGAGTATGCTGTCGTCTCCTGCTCCTCCAAAGATAGTACAGGCACTCAGTGTTCGAATGGCGGCGGCTTTGACGGCGAAAGATGACGAGTCCATGGCGGCTCGTTTGACGACGGAGTTCATGGACGGGTAGATGGTGTCGTCGAGCATGGTAACGGCCATGAGGGAAGTGGCCCTGAGTGCGAGGATGGTTTCCTTCTCGCTGGTCTCGGACCGGATGGATTTGGCAAAAACCTTGAGCAGCTCGTCCATCTTACTGCCCAGTTCCTCTTCTTGATAGTGGGCCGTCAGCATCCGGACAAATGCGTTGAGATAGTCCTCTCGTCCCTGGACGCTGCTGCGTTTTCGATCGATGAGTTCGTTGATGACATCCTGCAAGGGAGCACGGCTGCTCTCAGCATCTTCTCCCGCACCGGACTCCTCGGCTGAGACGTTGCTATCAAACTGTTAGACCATGAACAACTAATTATGAACACACGGAAACCGAAGCAGAAAGACATACCTCCAAGCTGTTCCAACACTCCGGGTATCATCGTCTTCATCATCCTCGTCGTCTGAGGGGTGGCGACTGACGTTTCTCGAGGACTGGCGAGAACTCTGGGCTGATGGCGTCCTCGAGTTCGGCGTAGAGACTCCCCGGCTCTGGGCCTTGCGGGAGACGGTCTTGTTGCTCTCGAGAGCACGGCGTCGAAGGTCGCGCATAATGATGGATGCTCCGTATATAGATATAAAAAGATATAGATCTAGTGGGCCTCGTTTATAACTGTCCTTCGTCGATGGAGGGACACAAGACGTTCGTGCGGAGGAACGAGGGGCCAGGCAGCTCCTTATCAGATAACGGCCGTGTGGGTCTGGCTGCAGGGTGGGCTGTTCTTTTTCCTGATCACCAGGTGTTCGTCGATATCAAGGTATGTTGTGTGCGCTGGTGCTGCGTCGAGTGGCAGCGGTTATCGAAGACGGGTGCTATCCCAAAGCCACTGAACCTCGATAAGCTCTGTGCAGGCGGGAGAGGCGTGCGGACATGAGGTGCGGGTTTGTTGCTGTCAGGCGCTGGTGCAGCAAGGCTAAGGCAGGACAAGGCGCGGCTGGCTGGCTGGCTGGCGGGTTGCTGGCGTCGTTGTTGGCGATGTTGTGCGCTGGTCGCTCCCCTTTGGGTCCTTTTGATGTCACGAAGAGAAAAGAAAAAGGACTGGACGGATGACTAAGCTGAAAGGCGGTGAGGGTGGCCTGCGCACTGCCCAGGTGCAATTAGGACGACGCTGATTGGCTGCTTAGTCATGGTCATGTGGGTGATGTCATAGTCACGTTACCATATTAGTCATCAGCAATGAAAGTCGCGTTGTTCTGCTTAGTCATAAGATCTTGGCAAATTTCGAGCCTCCAAAAAAAAAAGACGAAAAAAAGACGGGAAAAAACAACAAAAATCGATGGCTTTTGTTTTTGATAGATTTTGATAGACCGAACGAGGCGGGTTTGGAGATGAGAAAAAAGGTCACCCAGGATGCAAAAGGACGCGACTGTGGCGGCTGAGAAGTTATGACTCGGGGGGTGTTTAATCCCTCTTAAAAGGGCTACCTGGAGTGGTTGGACTCTCTAGTGGCAGCGTGGGAGCAATATACATATCCGGAGCCTGTGTCAATGCCAGACTCTGTTTGACAGGGCCCCTTTTCATAAAGAAAGTCTGTATCCATCCTGGATCCCACCGACTGAGCGTTGCCATCGTCTAACAAAATGTCGATACAGGTCGACTTAATCCCTGCTTAGTCACAAGAGTTGGCATACGGACTGGCCTGGGGCTGAAACTAGTGTCTGTGGGCAGGGTTCAAACCAGCAGCCGCATACTCCCAACCACGGTTCACGGACGGCTTTTCTTTGTTGTCCCGTTGAGCACCCTTCTGCTCCCCCTCCGCTCGTCGTGGCGAGATGCGATCTTTTCCCAGGGTAAGGGGTATGGGGTCGATGGCTAGCCCAGCGGCAAGTAGATGGGAGGCGCTCCTCTGCATATGCAGACCACATATACTCTGTACTCCATAGTTAACTAACCAGTGAGTTAGCTAGTTGCCTATCCAGCAGACCAGCCGAGCCAACGACCGTGCATGGGAAGCAGTTCACTCGGCCCAACGGACGGTTAACTAGTTAACTAACAGCTAGGAAGAATGTTATTATTAGCATCTGCAGACACGGTCATTTCTTTGTCTCCGTCGAAGCATATCATTGCTATTATCCTGTGGGGGTTACATCTAGATATTCACTTGACAGGGTGGTGACAAGCAAGGGGGTTCTCCATCTGTTTCGTTACGTACAAAGCCCTTCTCCCGTTGCAAAGCTATCCAGACTACTCCACGCCATCATCCCTGTCGCAAACCCAATCCATAGGGGGAAACTGGAGCCATAGCGCGGACACACGGGGAAGAGGAGCGCCATCTTGCATATGCACATACGCATAGTACAAACTTGATGCACCGGGGTGGAGTGCCGAAGAGAATAGGCTTACACACTGAACTTTTTGGCTCCTTAACTACGGAGTACGGCTCGACCTCTGATCTTTTCTCCCCTTCGTTTTCGCTTTCATTCCTCCTTTTCTGCCCTCTTTCAACCCTTTAGGTTGACCCGTTTGTTTGGTATATGGTTCATTTGCCTGTGAGAAGCTTGGACAGTGGCAACAACTTGCAAGGAGCTTTCTTCACATACTTAAAGCCCAAACATTTGGCATTTTAGGGACTTTCCTCTTGGACAATATATTATTTGTCACTTACATTCTCATTCGACTCGAACTTGGTCTTACCCGTGTGAACGACTCCGCAATTTCATTCGAGACTACTGCTGTGATCCCGTCTTATGCTTGCCCGGCCGGAGTCAGGACACCGAATGTTGCACCTTCTTTACAGTTGAAAACAGCCATGGTTGCTGTTGCGGATCGAAGCCTGGAGATTGATGTACGCTGAAATCCAAAAAAGTTTCCTCAAGTCTATCTCAGTTTTTTTGACCGGGTTTTGATGTTGATTCTAGGCGTGGAAACAGGCCGAGAATGACGACGAGTCTACGCATAGCGAACTGTAAAGCCTCCTCCGCTCCTATTTCCCCCGACCGGACACACCAGCTAACATTCAATGACAGTCAAGAAGAACAGAGCTACCTGAGCTCTTTGACCTCGAGTGTTGTCAATTATAAGTGAGCAGCAGTCTCTTGGTTGCCTTGTTCAGTGCAGATTCACTAACACTCGTCTAGATATGAGGTTAGAAAACAAGATCATGGAGATTATACCGAGTCCAATCTTCGCTGACATCTGTTGATACAGAATGGTCGACGATACCATGCCTTTCGTGAAGGAATATACACACTCGTACGCGTTTCCTTCGCCCATACGTCTTCGCACCACCCCCCTACGAGAATCTGATACTAAGACTTATTCATAGCCCAATGATAAAGAGGAGCAAGATCGAATGGACTTTGTACACCATATCTACCTCTTGCTTCTTGGTGGTGCCTTATACGTGGCTCCAATATCAGACCCACGGAGGGTTTTGGACCTAGGAACAGGGACAGGTGCGTTTTTTCTTCCACGGGACGTAATCGCAGCTACAAGGCTAACCGGATGCTAGGTTTATGGGTAAATGATTTTGCAGAGTAAGCAATGAATTGCCTTATCTATCACAGGCAGCCACTAATGGGTCAACAGTGAACATCCTAATGCTGAAGTATTTGGTACGTCTACGTCTTTTGCCATATATACCGATATTGTATAGCTCACATTCTCTACCAGGCACGGACTTGAGTGCAATTCAGTCGCCATGGTATGCATACCCTACGATTTATTGTTTTCATGGCCATGCTAAGCACGTAACTAGGGTGCCACCGAACGTGATATTTGAAATCGATGACTACGAAACAGATTGGTCGTACTCATCCGGATTCGACTTCATACATAGTCGTGAGCTAATGGGCTTCATCGGAGACCACGACCGTTTCATGGCTCAAGCATACGAGAATCTAAACCCCGGGGGATGGCTTGAGATGCAAACAACTGATCCAACACTTTTCTCCGTTGACGGAGGTATGGAGAGGGCCAAAATACTACCCAGCTACATTGCGAATCTGCATAGAGCTAGTGCCATGTTCGGTAAATCCATGACCGAAGTCGACACCTGGCCTAGCAGGATGGTAAGGGCCGGATTTAAAGATGTTCAGGTTCAAATTTTGACGGTATTCTTGACCTGCTACCTTCTTCGCTGCACTTTTTTGCTGACTTATCATAGCTTCCAATTGGTACTTGGCCAAAGGACCCTAAGCTGAAGGAGATAGGCAAGTTCCAGCAAGTGCAGGTTACACAGGCTGTCGGCGCATATACCCCTGCCCTATATACCCGTGTGCTGAAATGGACTCGGGAAGAGGTCAACGATCTTTGTGCCAAGGTTCGAGCCGAACTTCAGGATCGATCCCTGCATCTTTATTTAAAAGTGCATATTGTTATAGGAAGGAAACCGTGATCTTATCTGGCTATGTAAACCACGTAGTAGAATGGGGATCCTTGCGGAGAGTTATGGACGGGCATGATAAGTTATATAATTCGCTCAGCAGCATATCCGAATATGAAGCCTACCCTCTGAACCAAAAAAGCCATATTTCCTCAACAAAAAGAATAACGTTTATAGACCCTATGAGTATGCTCTCCCTGCTATAATATTCCGGTATTCAATATTATCGCGCGACTGGTCCTCCTTTACATCTTTTTCAAAAACTAATTCAATTTTTCTGCTGCTCCCTTGTTCCTTGACATTGATTAGCCTCCTGAATATGTCAGTGGTACCAACTCCAGCTCCTGTATTTTTCAAGCTTTTAGTCGGCGTTGAGTTCATTGCCAATGTAACAAGGCCGGAGATGGAAGCCCATGCAAGCGAGCTTCGTTTTGATATCAGCGAATATGCCCCGTACGTGAGTCCAAAAATGCAGTATAAACCAAGGATAGCAATTGATAATTTGATAGACGTCCCGTGCATTGTCCATGCATATCCACTTGTGACGTAACGGAAGGTAAAAGTCGTCTTCGGTGGTTCGATTGGTATAGAGCTATCGCGGTCATTTATGGCCGGTCTCCAACCTGAGCTCCAAAGAAAACTGGGTTCGACAATACAGTGATGATATGATATAGCATTTGCAACCAACGTCGATAAGACAGCTTCATGCATCACGGGGCGGTGGTTACCACTGTATGTGCCGTTCACAGGGCAGATAATATCCGTCATGGGCAGGGACTTCAATAACTTGTCGGCTGTATTCTCGATACGAACGGATTCGAACGAGGGGGAATGGTATAGCCTATCCGTCGCCCGTGTGAGGTTGAACATGCGCGTCACCCCAACCGTCGTATTGGTCCATTCTTCGGGCATATTTATCAATTGTGATGTGTCCCTCCAGTCAGGGGTAAAGACGAGAGAGTCAGGCGTGAGTTCATTTTCCAATTTGGCTTTCTCGTCATATTGTTTGGTCCTGGTATATTTCACAGTCGTGTTCGTCCATCGTGCTCCAAGGACGCATGCCGAAACTGAGAGAAACGCAGAGCCGTTTACAGACCTGCAAGGTTCAGGGTGAACAACTATGGCAGCTGGTGTGGTTCCAGGGATGGGGGAAGCCACTTCTACACCCCCGTCCACCCATATTATTTGGCCTCTCCGAGATTGTATGTTTTGTTCCCAAATATCTCTCCTAGAAATTGTTGTACGGGCGGTAGTATTGGGTATATTCAACACTGGATATTGCTCTAGATATGACGTCTCGTTATAGAAGAAGTCGGCAAAATAACTGTCTGGGAAGTGTATAGGGCGATTATCATCTTCCCCCATTATAGTATTCAATTCGCATACAGTGCTAACATAGGATTGCGGTAGGTTGGCACTGATGATTGAAGGGAAGAACCTTCCGGTTGGTTGACCAGGGAAATAATTATAGGCGCGAAGTAAAGAAGATGTAGCAAATATCTGTGGGACCGTTGCAATTGTTGCATTAGGGGCATATTGTAGGTACATGGTCCTTGATCCTATTGCGTAATTGTACAAAAAAGGATCCAAAGCCGACGAACGTTCTAATATTGTTGAAGGATATAAGGTTGGCATAACCATTATCTGATGGCCGTCACTATTAGTCTGATATTGAACACCAACTTGGGAGGTCTCGCCTATAGCCGTAGACGTTACTGGGGGTATAATAAGGCCCTCGACTCCCTCCCAGAAAGGTGGAAGGCGGGTGTCTAAAGGTGAGTTAGAAAACAGGATTCACTATTGAGGCATTATGCTCTTTATAGGGGGGGGTTATCATTCTTGAGCACCTTCGGAAATAGGTAGTCGCTGGAAGCATTGACACCAAACCCGCTCCAATCTGGTAGTGAGTAGTTTGCCATTCTTGGCTGCATTGCAATGGCACTTGAAGGCCCAACAACAGAGGCCAATAGAATACTGAAAATGACCGCAATTGCAAAGACAACCTTCATAGATAGTGGGAATTCGGGTGCCGTCAAGGTGGCCCGAAATTCCGGGGAAAAGAGATAGCCCATATGGGTCATTTGATGGGCAAAGAAGATTGATCCGAAGGGCACCGCTTGTCTATGAATGAGGAGATATTGGAGGTATGTGAGCATGGCAACGACAATTGAAAGCACAATTAGCGATTCGTGCACTTTTGCAATGAACTGCAGGAGTGGTATCCAAGCCGGGTCTCCGGTATAGAATTTCGTAGTTATATTCAAGACGATGAGGCCCACGGCTCCGGCGATCGGGATAACATGGAACAGGAGAAAGTGCTGAACTGCTTTCGTCCTGCTTCTTCCCAAAACTACCTTTGGGCTTTCTCGCTTGCTCGATAATCTAGTGCTTTGCGTGTGTGAAGCTGTCCTTTTTCCGTCCTCACTATCATGGTCATCATTATGGATATCATCGTCGTCACTGTCGTCATTTAGCGCTGTTGCAACTGAAGCACAAGGCGACAGGTGTTGCAGCTCACTCCTGCTGCCCATGCATTAGCACCTGTCATCATATCCTGTTGGCTCGCAGACGGAAAGCAACAGGGCAATTCCGTACACTTGGATATCCCTCCTGCTGGCACAACCTTCGGCTGGCGAAAGCGTTGATTTTTGCTGATAGAGGGGAATAGATTCTGACTCCATTTTTCTCCTGGAACTCATGGATGATCAAAAAGAGAAAAGTACGACGGCTACCATGCTGGCGAAGAGGACGGAAGCTCTTTATAGCTGCATATAAAATCAAGCCTGCGTCTACCCCTGTCGGATCGGCCCAGCGCTAAGGAGGCTGTGCCATCACGCCAGTTGTGATCCAAGATTGTCAATGGCATATTTATACTCCGTAGAAGGACAGATGAAGATCCCGTCTCGAAGTGGCTGTACGGAATATATTGGATCTTCTGTCGTAGCTCATGTTGCCCAGAATATATGCTAAGAGGTAGATAAAGAAGGTGTTCAGAGAGGGCGTAAGGGAGCCGCATACGGGATTTTGTCTGGCCATGCACCACCCATGTTCGCGCCAGCCACCCGATTTAATTTCCCTGAATCCTTCAGCCTTCAGACGGGCGCTGACGAGCGAAGAAACAAGGGAA